TTCTTGTGCTTCATTTTGTCAAGAATCAGTTAGACAAGCGAACGAGCTTGTCTTCTTAGCGTAAAATGTGTTAAATAAATTTATTTTGACTTGGAAAACTCGTACTCCAGTTAGGAAGCACTCTCATGTTTAAAATTACAGAAGTTTTTAGATACAATCGAAAAAAGAAAAATATCTGAAGCTATGTCAAATATCAAACTGTTTGACAAATATGTTTGTAGTTGAGAGTCAAATAGTTTGACGACAAAATATTTGAAAATCAAGATATTTGACTTTCACGCAAGTCTAGTTGCATACACGACGATCAGAGGTTCGATTCATATCCTGGGCAAGCGAGTGGTCACCTGCTTTCCATTGTCGAGCTTTTCTATAGCTAACAGCTGCAAACTATCAGCTGATTCCAAGAAGTGTTATGGGTAAAATAATTTTGCAGGGAAAACGCGCGTTTTTGACCATTATTCAACGGAAACGACACTTGTTGAGAGATTTTTGGACTTAAAATCTCCCACGTAAGAATTTTATTTCAGACTTAGAACAAAGATAGCGCTGAGGCTATAAGAATCAGAGCTCAGAAATATGCCAGGTACAAGGACGAAAGCTTGTACAGAGAATCCAGTTTTTCAGAGGTTCTCAAAAGACACGGATAAACGCAACCTTTTTATTCTGCGGACGACCGAAAAGGATACCGAATTACCTCCAAAATGAGAAATTCCACAAGTTTTCTTTCGACTTTTTCTGAGAATCATTATGGATCTTTCTGAAGATACCTAAATCCAGTATAAAGCAGTGGAATCATTTTATGGTAATAGATCTAACAGTGTGGTTTTCCGTCTGCCGTCTTATTTTTCAAATCACTTTAACTTGAAGTCATAAAAAACTGTTGTGCGTCTCGGTTTGCAGCTGATTCTATTTCCTTGGAGATAATCAGCGAAGTAAAAGTTTGCGGTTCTTGAAATATATTTAGGAATCTCCTGAAAATCGGGTGTTTGGGTGAGGTTTCGGCCTTATTAGACCTATTCGGCACAATTTTCTAATGCTTATTACCACTATCCTTCTCCAGAGATCGAAATGAATGGTTCATAAAAGTTCTGCAAAGAAGGTCGGTTTTGCTGGAAAAAATGACAAAAATGCGCCTTTTTTATATGATACCAGTTTTCTCTATAACTTTACCAGAAACCAGCTGGCAAGCTACAGCTTTCATCGTTGAAAGCAGCGTCAAAAATGAGACTGAGAATTATATATTTACACCGGTGCGCGCTAAGACTTTCATACAACGCGGTAGCTAGCAGAAAGAGTTAGGTACCAGTTACGCAACTTTTTTCTTCTCCTAGCCTGCCTCAAACGACGGGACTTGGACGATTAAAGATTTAGCTTCCATTAGCACTACTCCTAACAGTACGGCTTTGCCAACAACTTATTCTACTGGAGTAAATCTTCCTCACGTTAATAATTTACCTGCCACTACATCACCTAAGAGCGCGGCTTCATCAGCGACAACAGTATCCCCTCGCCCTCACGTCATGAATCAACCTGCCGAGCCAGATGCCGAGGAAGACAATGACAATGATGACGACAGTGATACAATCTCCGTCCTCGACACGAGTGATACATTCTCCGTATCATCCCTCGAACTAAAAGAAGAAACGAAACTCGTTCCGGTTGCATCAGCTGAAGCAACTCAAGAATTTCAACAAAAATTTGATCAAGATCAGAAGAAGCGAAATGAAGAAATAAAAGCTGAACAAACGAAATTACAACAGGAAGTAGAAGCGGAAAAAAAAAGACGAGGTTAGTAGAACCAATTTCTGTCAAAGTGAGCGTTTGTCTAGCGAATACATTTGCAAGGGTTTTTCCTGAGAACTCTTGTAAATGCACCTGTGAAACTTGAGAAGATTGAAACGGCCATAGCCATTGACTCAGGCTAGGCAAGTCGAGTTTTCCTTAGGTCAAGAAAAATCCTGTGAGGTAGTCATGAGTCGGCCTAGTGGAAAAACTGTGCTCAAGGGATGGACGCAATGTAAGACTCGCGGCATATATTGCGTCTGAACCTTCTTAAAATTTTGAGGTGTCTTATATCGTACCTCCAAAAAGAAACAGTTTTGGTCATAGTTTGCGAGTTATCGACTTTGGAGGAAAAAAATGGGCCCACCTGATGTTTCGGAAAGCCTTTGCGTCGCATGTTCTCGTCCTCGGAACAATTTGTACGCGTTATTTTGCATAAAAAGTTGATGGATCCGTTCGTTTTGTTACAATTTTCCAGGTCCAAAACTACCTAAAAATGAAGGTCTTGTATTGTGGAATTTGCTCTACTAGTTTGAGGGGCGCTTCGGTTATAGGGAGGAACCCCTATTGCCTCCATCTCTTTCGTGACTCAGACTGTAAGGTGCACTATTTTGAAGTACCAGAATAATTTCTTCCCTAAAAATAAGTGAAATATTTTTGCAAAACACTTTAATTACGATTTCATCGAGAGTAAAATAAAATCTCATGGTTATCAAAAACCGATCGATTAAAGCCACATACACCGTCATAACTTCTTTTAGCATTTTTTTCCCACGGCGACTTCACCTATAACCTGAAGAATGTTCGTACGACTCAGCCAGACCTCCGATTTGTAAATTTTCTCATTTTCTTGATCATTTCGTTTTTCCCCTTTTTCATAGTCCAAGAAGATCAACAACAACAACAACGTCTCGATCTCCTCGTTAACCAGCAGAAAGAAGCTGAGGTCCAAAAACAAATTGCAGAAATGGAACAAGCACGAAAAAAAAGTGAAGCTTCTTTGAAAGAGGCCACTGATCGTCTAAAAAAACTCGAACAACAACTTGCCTCCAAAGATGAAAACGACCGAAAACTAAAAGACCTTGCCAAACGTGTTAAGACAATTGAATATCGTCAGATAGATCGAGCTTTAATCAAAGACTACCTCGCCGGTAAAGTACCACAGATTACAGCCTTTCTAAACACGATAGAACAGGTGGACGAATACTTCAGAGATCGAATTCCACGTCTAGACACAATGGAAGATTATGCAGGAAATTGGAAGCTTGTTTTAAGTGGTTTTCAAAAGCATCACGACGCATTCTCTGCACTACTTCTCCGTCTACAGAAACTCGTTCGCGCAACTCAATCAGCCAAAGAGTACTATCGCCGACATCTCAGGCGTCAGAAATCTGAAATTACAGGCGGCCTGAGAAAAGCTGTGAAAGGTCAGAAACAAATCTCTGTACGAACGTGGCAACACTATAGAACTATTTTCATGCAACTTGTGAAACAGAAAATTGAAGACTATGGCACAGCATTTGATCAGTTGATCAATCAGAAACAGAAATCATCATGGATTGACAATGCGATCAATGGTGAACCTGTACCTCGGCTTCTCGCAGCTGTAAAACAGGAAACGGATAACTATGTCAGTAAAAAACCGTTCCTGAAAGAAGTGAATGAACTGAAACATCAGACTTTCGAGACCTACATCGACAAAGAAATTCTCGTTCAACAAGTGAAATTTGAAAAGATACCCTCAACTCTGTCCACTCAAGTGATGAATGAATTTATTGCGAGAGTCAAACAAGATTTTAAAACAACGGCTCAACAAAACGACAAAATCGAGGAACAGTTCAAGCCAATACCAAAGCTACTAAAACGTATGCAACTCTACTACCGATGTTTCCTCTTGCAATTGCCATTGTATGAATCAGCAAAAGATTTGTTAAGAAAAATTGAAAAGAATACGGTCGTAACAATTGCAACCTCTACAGGGTCAGGTATGTAAAGTTTCTAAGAGACTGCAGAGCATGAGGAGGTCTGAAGTCTACTGGTGCAGAGACATTTAGAGTGCTAGAAAAACTCCGTGGTAAGTTAAGAACGTAGTAAAAACTCGTTTTACCTATATTATATATCCTCAGCAGGGCTCCAACAGTTTTGCAGGAACACTGAGCCAAAACGGTTTTCTTAGGCGAAACAATTTAGAAAACTTGTGACAGGAACAATGACAAAACCTTCGGTTAAGATGTTTCGTACTGAAGTCGAGGGAAGTCAGTTGCGCCGACCAAATTCTATTCATAAAAAAAATCTGTTTCTTGAGAACAAGTTTCGAGTGGTTGTGTAGAAAGCAATAGTACTGAAAACTCGCAAACTTTGTTTTTGCTTTGAACGGATTTCAACCCATAACAAACTGAACTTTAACGTATTGAGAAGATGAAAAACGTGGAATTAGTGATTTGATGAATTTAAAAAAAAAATTTAAAGGGCGGATTTCGCTGTTTCCTTTCGGATATCCGTAATGAGTAGTTTCGGTCAGCTAGCTTCTCACTATGTACGAGTACGACTATACTTACACTTATGAGATCCGAGGTCGTATTCCGAGTTAGCATTTCCTACCAATAGATTTCTTGCAGACAAGCTTCCACACTTTTTTCAGCAACTCTCTTATGATCTGTAAACAAATAATCCAAGGAAGATCCGAAAGGTCGTTGGATTATAAACAGAGGCTAGCGCAGTCGTGTCTGCGGTATTGCCAAATCATTTTAACCACTGAGGCACTGATTAGGTGGTTCTAATGTTGGCAACGAAGATTTGTTTCTTCGACAATGTCATACAGGAGTTTGCTGCTCACTACTCTCACAGCTTCTCGTGATTCGAAAACGTAATAGCATGCTTCTTCGCACAAAGAACCTTTCAGAATGACTTTTGCTTTTCAGAAACTTACAGTGCTTTTTAGTATTACCTGTAAAACTCGTTTTAACTTTTAACTCAGAACTCAGTTCACACTTGCAAAGGGGAAAGTCTTATGTCCTCTTATTAAGCCTGAACACCAATTGCTCGACCCACAACAGTTTCTCCATTACAACACAACACGCCAAAACTCCCCCTCAACTATAATTTTCCTGCTACTCTTCCTAGGTAAATCTACACTCCTTCCCGCTTTACTCATCGCCGAAGGCTACGACAAAGTGATCGTCACTCAACCACGTCGTCTTCCCTGCAACACTATTTGCGACCGTGTTAATGAGACAATGATTGCAAATCGTCAAAGTGAACAAGCTCTAGCCGGTTGGGCCGTCAGTGGAGCTGAAAAAAACGTTAACGCACCCATTTTATACCTCACCGACGGTTTACTCAAGGAACGTCTTCAGTACGATGAAAATTTGATCAACAATCAAACAAAATTTGATAAGTCACTTGTGTTCTTCATCGACGAAGTTCACGAACGTTCAATCAATATCGATTTGTGTCTGGCTCTATTTGCACGTCTTCTAACACAGAAACCACACTTACGAAATAAAATCAAGTTGATTATCTCCTCGGCAACACTCGACACAAGTGTACCAGATTTATTTCGTAAAATTCAGCCAAAAATTGAGTTTACCGAATTTGTTATGCCACAAATGGGTTTACTATATCCAGTGAATAAAGTTGATGCAAAAGATAAAAATCTCTTAAAAGTTGTCCAAGAACTCTACAAGAAGAAATCTCGTCACGATCAAATTCTCGTTTTCGTTAGCAGTGTCACAGAAGTACATCAGTCAGTTCGTCTACTCACAGAACTCAGCAAAGGTGCAATTGTGGCTTATCCCCTTGTTCAATCGCAGGCAGCTAGCGATCAACAAAATTTTATCGAAGTTGGCAGTGTATTCATTTCGACGACTGTGGCTGAAACCTCTCTCACATTTCCAGGACTGAAATACGTGATTGACACCGGCATGATCAACGTCCCCGTCTATGACGTTGAAAAGAAGCAAACCATTTTGAAAGAGATTCGTGCAGCTGAGTCTACGATTAAACAGCGGCTTGGTCGTTTAGGCAGAACGAAACCTGGAGAATATTATTCACTATACGATTTCAAGGTTGAAGACAAAAGGTATCCGACACCGCAGATATGTCAATCTGATTTGACTAATTTGGAGTTTAGTCTGAGGAAATCGCCGTTAAAGAATGGACTGTCCTATCTGAAAACATTTCTGCCCAATCCACCGGATGAAAAAAGAATTCAAGCGGCAATGAATGAGTTGAAGCTACTACGTGAGTAAAGAATGCTTTTTGTTTTTTACACCCGAAAAAGCGTCATTTCTAGGCGCAAGAGGAAATTCAAAGGTTTTGTAAAACCGTAGTAAAACCTATTTACTCGTGAGTTACTACTGCTACTACACAGCAAGAAGTTGAGAGGCTTTTCAGCTATCTAGACGAAAACCAAAACGACGTAGACTTAAAAAGTATCGAGGTGCAACACTTTTCAATAGAGCTCGACCGCCAAATTTTCTAGACTCTCATGTAAGTTGGAAAACAAGGGGAAACCGAATTCTTGCTGAAAATTAGCATCTCGTACTTTTGCTCTGTCTTTTCATCGAAGGTATGTAGCCTGGATTCTCTAGAAATCTTCAAAAAGAAAGACGGGACGATGTTTTCATGCCATCAGATTTGTTTTGAAATTGTATGGCGTATTCTCACATAATCGCGGTAAACCGTCCTTAATTAATGTTATAGGATGCGGCTGCCTTGGTAAAGCGTCCTCCTGCTGGACTTTAGTAAAGTCATAGTTCCAAAAAAAAAGAAAACAAGTACAGGGATAGGCATTCAATCACTCTCAGTCCGCTGATTGTGGCTTTGACCAACACAGCCTTTCGCTTACTAGAATTGCTGTTTTGGAAACGATTTTGATGAACTATGGCTACGATTGATTACAAGTTTGAGTCTGTGACGGCTTTATCATTTGAAACATGTCGTTTTTGATCGCTCTGAGAGACAAACACATGCCCAGTACGGAAAGGGTCCAAAGATTCTTGTCTAGTTTTATATATATTACCTCGAAGCGGAAGGAAATTTCTCTCTCCCATGGTGATTCCACAACTTCGACCTTTTTCCGCCCCTTTTTACTGAATAATTTTGTGCTAGGTTTGAAGAGAATTGTTTCTTCTACAAGGACCAATGTTCAAATCATCTGGTAGTTTCAAAATGGCTTCCAAAAATGACCAAAACTTGAAAAGAGCGTGTTTTCGAAAAAACGCTTTTTTCAGAGTTATTATTTTTAAAAATCTATTTTGACACATAACTCACTTAAAAATACATTTCCTAATTCAATTTCTCTTGCTCTTTCGAATGAGACGTCGCACTCATTTTCTTCCAGTTTTTTGCTTAACCTACAGGCTTTACAATAAAAAGTCTTGGCAACTCCGATCAAATCTGTGCCAAGTCCCTCAATTCTCGACGGAAACTTCCAGCGCAACTTATTAAAAAACTAACTGCTTTCTCGGCCTTCAAGTTAAATTTAAACTTTCCAACTTACCTGCCTCTTTAAAGTTGTAACACATACCGTTTCTTTCAGTGCGTGTTTCACTCTTACGTTGCTTTCTTAAGGTCAGGTTTCGGAGACAGTGAGGCCAACTTACTGAATTTTGGACATTTCTTTACCAGCCCCAGCCGCCTTCCGGCTTTAGATTTTCCGAGCAGCGCGCAGTCGGTTCCGAGAGAAGTAAATCAAAAATCTACTGCTGATCTTCGCTTCAACGTACTTTTCTCTTTTACTTCTAGGTATTCTCACACCACAATATCAGCTTAGTTCCGTCGGCGTCGATCTCTCTAAGCTACCTGACTTTGGTTCACTTGCAATGGCCAAAGCAGTTCTCTCGGCCCTCCAGCAGTACAACTGTGGTCGTGACCTCATCGTTCTCTCCTCAATCCTCGGCATCTTGAACACCTCAGCCATCTTGAAACAAATTCCACCGAACCTGAAATCAGCGGACGGTGACTTTATGTCACTTTTAAACGTGATGGACACCGTACTTCAATTCAAACAGAGTGTACCTGCAAAACAATTCAGTTTAGATAAAATCTGTAAGAGCAAGGGACTAACATCGATTCAACACTATCTTCGACAGGCTGTCCGACGATACTCCAGTCTCGAACAATCATTCAATCTCTCCGATATTTACAAAGAAAAAGCACAGGTTAAAAGTGGAGATTGGTCCTTGATTGCAAAAGCTCTGCTGAACGGATTCAGTGAAAATGTGTTCGTTAGTATGAAAGAATTACAGGGAAAGTTGCATCTCTTCGTCCGATATCATCAGCAATCCGCTACAAACACCGATATGGACCTTGCAGTTTTGGATCTTCAGTCGACACTCGTACGGCCTATGACCCAAGCACCTGTCTCTCTTGTTCTCGCACGCGACATTCGGTTCTCGTCGTCGATTCGTGCAACTGCAGTTCTTTCGTTTCTTGGTGAATTAAAATCTGAATGGATTGAAAAACAAATGGTTCGCCAGTTTACTCTAAACGATGCCGAATTAGCAAAACTCAATGCAGACGGAATCGTTCAAGCTGTAAAGAACATCTTTTCAAATATTAATATAACCACTGCTAATAACACTATCAAAATTCAAGGTTCTTCAGGAGCAGTTCTTGATGCCGAACTCGATATACGAAAACAGCTAGTAGTCGAACATAAATTTCGCTTGAAAAATGAATATCCGAAACAAAGTGCATCCTATCAGAATTTGAAGCGAAATCTCGAGAGTGTCAGTAAAATGGCGACAAGAATTTTTAATCCGATGATTTGGCGATGGGAACGACAGGAACAAGTAAAAATTACAATCGACGGTTCCTCAACTGAATCAGACGATATCTGTGAAGTGACGGTCTTGGGACGTGATTCACAGAATCAACTGGTCGAAGCTGAATTCAATTCATTTTTAACTTGGCTCAAGAACAGTGTGGTGTTAAGACATCCGAATTCAGGTGAGATCAGTTTGGCGATTTTTTTAGTAGAAAATCTTGTTCCTCCCAAATATAAGAATATGGTCCCTTTGATGCTACTAAACTATCGATATTTCTGATTTGGAGTTTCGCCTTTTAGTAACTTGTCCTGAGAACACCCAGCAAAAAATCGACTCTGGGATGAAAAAGTCTCAGAACTCAACTTCTGGACGAGTTTTACTTCTAGAAAAGCTCAATCTGGCTCTTGTCAAAAAATTTCCTGGAGTGTTTTGGAACAGAGCATGTGCAGAAGCTGTGCCGAAGAGCTTATTTAAACGAAAATTGAACGCCAAACTTCTTCATGCAATAGCCTCAGACTGTAAAAATGGGGGCTTTCTGGATTAAACTAATACTCTTCTTTTTTACTGGCTAAACATAGACGTTTGGTATTTCTATACAGCCTTGAGGTATACCTGTTAAACCTCACACGGGTGACTTTCCTCGCCTGCTCTACAACCTAAGTTAAGGCCGTTACGGTAAGGTTCGATTTCTTTTTCAAATTTAATCTCAGGTGAGGTTTTCCCGACGCTCTAAGGTCTTTGCGTACCTACAGCAACTTTCAGAAGTGGAAAACTCAGAAATCATGCACAGGAAATGCTGAAATTTTTCTACTTTTTTACGTTTATCAGACTCTGTCAGAACGGCTATATTGTCTGACACACCATCTTCCAAGAGGTAATATTTCTGCAGAAACGACTCGCGAAGGCTGGGCGGCAGTTTTTTGATGAACAATATTGCTTGGTCGGAAAGCGCTTTTTGTTGCCGCTTCTTTATAGAAGCGTGTTTTTACAAAATGCTACCAATCCGAATTTGTGACACATTATCGCCTGTTTGAGATTGCGACTTGGCCTGGTTACCTCAAATTTTTATCACAGGCAGCATACGAAATCTCTCAGGACAAAATTTTTGGTTTTACTTTTTGAGTTTTAACTTGTTTAGTTGCAGGATTTATTAATATTAAAACTCGGTTTTAAAAAAAAAGTTGTTTTCATTCTTAGGATAAGTTTCGAAATGAGTAAGGCTTTCCCCCAAAAAAATACGACGTCTGAGAAATCATCTTTATTGTCTCGAATGAATTTTTTTTCTGGTCAGTTATATCACGATGAGACGAAAACCGACCTCTTTCTGCAATACATCGAAAACTCGTCAAAATCCAAAATCCGCCGAGGTCACAAAGGATTCCGGAGAGCATCATCTGTTAACGTTTTAGGTCTTAATGGCTTTTATGGATCATAGTGAAACGCTCGAGAAAGGGTATAATACCAAAGCGTTAATCTTCTTCTCTTGTCAGTCTTTAGGTGTCGAACCACGTCGTGTCAAATCGGCAATTCGTAAAGAATGTGCTGACATTGAAGAACGTATCTCTCATGTCACCGATACAGGTCGTTCAACTGTCGACCTTTGGAATAGTCTGAACGGTCCGAGTGCTACACGTGAAACTCGAATGGAATTTGTTGCATGGTTATCTGTCTGTGAGTTTCACTGTCGACTGGAAGGTGGTTTTGTTCGAGACTGGATAGTCGGACACTGCAGCCAGAAACCCTCAACGCCAATCGGTTGGATTAAATGGGAACCAAACTCACAGGGAAAACAAATTCCGTATCTGAACAAAGATTTCATTCCAAGTGATCTAGACATGCATCTCCCAACTCACAACTATTTTGATATTGACAAGTTTCTTGATCGTCTTCACAAGTATCAAATTACTTATCAAGTGATTCGTGAGGACTGGCGGTACGTTATACTCTTGGACGAAAATCGTGCAACTGGCCCATTTACAATGGACCTAATTGAACCTCACGTTGCACTGACACATGATCGTGTGGATTTTGATGTGAGTAACCTTTCCTTGGAAGAGGGTTGTACACGTGAACTGGGCATGCGAGTAGATATTACGCAGAAGCCCTATTCAATTGAACTGGAAACAATTATTGATAATATAAAGAACAAACGATTTCAGGTCCTGAGACCCAATGATAATATTGTGAGGTTAAGAATCGGCAAGATGGTTGATCGTGGTTGGACTCAGGTAGGCCAACCAATGCACATCATTCCGAATCCTCCTCCAAAATACTCCGTCGTCCTTGTCCCCCTTCATTCTACGACAACACTCTACCAAGAATTATCTACGAAGATGAAGAAAATCCCAGGATGCACAATCGTTTCAATGGAACAGATCAAAAATCCTCTACTCGAAGATGCTTATCAAGCAATGAAAATGCTCATTGCAAAACAATGTCCGGGACGTAATCCAAACCAAATGGAATTATTTCATGGAACAAAGGGTGAAGCAATTGAAGGGATACTGAATGATGGCTTTGATGACCGATTTTTTAATGCCACAGGAGCTTGGGGTGAGTAGAAAGTAAGAGCTAACTACATTCTTTAGGGATTGTTAGTACAAACATCCAAAAAATCGAATTCTAGTGTACCAGTATATGCTGAACTCAGCATCAGTTTTGACGTACGTCCCACCATCTGTGAATCGATACTCCATTGTTTTGCCGATAACTTTTTAAACGAATGGCCTAGTTTGCAGAGATAAAATTTTTTTAGAGGTTTACAATAACCTGAAAAAGTTTACAAATACTCCTAATTTTTTATGTAAAGACATTCGTCTGAGTTTTTTACTGTCGGCCCCTCTTTACGCGCGTGAGCAAATTCGATTTTTACGAACTTTTTTATTTTCGAGCTCCAAAGATATTCTAACAAAAAAACAAATTTAGGGTTTCAAAAAGTATCTGAACAGGAATTATTCGGTTCGCTAATTATTGTGATAATATTAGTTTTTCGATAGAATTAAACCAAAGGTTTATATTCAGTAGTTAATAAAACTGAGTTTTCGCTAACTCCGACCACGTAGTTTACTCTTATTCAAATAATGTTTTACATCCTTTTATTAGCTTTTAATCAAATAGTGGTCATATATGACCACTTTTCGAGTCTATAAAAATTCAGAACCCTCATAAGCGGAACTAAAAAGGATAAAAACCCTAGTTGTTCCTGTTTCGGATACATGATCTTAGAATATATGAGTCTAGATGAAAAAGCAAAAATAAGGTTTCCTAGGTCAAGACTGAATTTTGCAATTTATTCTTATTTAACTGTAAATGAAGGTAACACGACAGAAGAGCTATCCGACATTTACACCAGAGATGTAACCGGTACCGGCAACCGGCTGGTCAGGAATTTCTGACCGGCCGGTCGAGAAAAAAAAACCTTTTTTGTCTGAAAAATTAGTACTTTGTCGAAAACGAATTTCCTGAGCTAAGTAAAACAAAGCTTTTCATGTTTCAGATTAAGAAAGTTAGTTTGGTTTTCTCTTTTCTGTCAACAGTCTTCGAGTGCAGGACTGTTAATCTCTACTATGTGAATATTCCGTTTGTTTTTCTTTCTTTTTCAATGTTTGTTGCAGTATTATCGGCACTAAAATACAAGGCCGGTAGTTATTTTTTGAATAACTCAAGGGGAATAAAAGATAGAGACTTGCGGTTTTCATTTTGCACTAGCCAAGATCTGAGGCTATGTTTTCATAAGTAAAAACGAGTTTGGAAAAACTGAATCTAAGAGATATCTTGGAAATCCATGGTTTTGGAGCTATCGGTGTTTTTCCAGAAGCCTTAACACTCCTCTGTCGTTAGGGTTTTACACTTACACACTAGGAAAATATATAGACTCGGCCTGGTCAGAAAGTTTTCGACCGGTTACCGGCCCGGTCGAGAAAATCTTGACCGGTTACATCTATGATTTACGCTCCCCGACAGAAGCTCTACTTTTTATGAAGTAGCAGTATGAGAATCGCAGGACTTGGCTATGCGGTCAGATGTGATTTAGCGCTCCTGCCGGTGAACCGATCATGTCAGAAGTCCTTTCTAAAGTTAAACCACGTCAGCTTTTGGCGAGTTCTTTTTTTAGGTTTCACAATTTAAATAAGTGAAACGATCTTTTATCAAATTGAGTTTCCAAAAAGTGGGCCGGTCAAATCAAATCATATAACTACTTTTTGATGGAAAGTAAGGATTTTTGCCCCTTCCAGCTGCGGTTAAAATTAATAATCGAAGCCTATGTGCACAGTGGCAAATCTCCATTAGAGCTTACCAGAATCAAGCCTTCACATGCTTTGTTCTAGGTCATGGAGCTTATTTTGCTGATGATCCGAGAAAGTCACACGGTTATACAGAACCCCCTGATGCAAACGACAATAACAATCGATGTATGTTCTACAATCGTGTCCTCCTCGGAAAACAGTATACAATGAACACAACAGATAACAAGCTTGTGTCCGCCCCGAAGAATTTTCACAGCGTTATGGGAACTGGTTTTAGTGCTATAGAATATATCGTTTATCGCTATGGACAGGCTCTACCGTATTTGAAAATTACCTATCGTACTTAATCCAGATTTGAAGTGTGTGTGTGCAAGTTTTCTTTAATCAAGAGTTTTTTAATAAAAAAATAAATAAAAAAAAGTAAATCTTACAGTTGTGCATCTTGACTTCTAGATAACGTTTCTCCTGGCTAGGTACGTACCCTTTTTTTTCAAAAACTCGAAAGCAACTCCATCTGCTCAGTCTTCCGCTTCCGCAAACGAATATTTTCCAACTCTTCTCTTTCCACGACTTTCCTGACGCTGTAGCTTCATGTCCGGTTGTGATGTAAATCGCATTTTAATTGGCTGTGGTCGCGGTTCAGACGGTTCGGGAAAGGGAGAAACGGCGGCTGAGCTATTGGAATTTGCGGTTCAAGACCGGCTATCGGTTCTTCCTTTGCAGGTATAATACTCTCTCTTCCCATGGAAGTTTCCAAATATTTCTTTTTCTTCTTTTCGTCTTAAAGGTCAGTTGTAACTGAGGCTCGAGTCGTATCAACGGCACTGCTCACAGGACGAATTATATCATCTATATTTGATGACCGACCTCGTGCCTTTCCGCTGCTTTCGGTTGCTTGGTCTTGACGATGACGAGGGTAAGGTGTATAGAGGTAGACGCCAATTAAGATGGCAATAAGAAGTAGGAGACCGGCGATAATGCCAGCGATCAGGGTCTTCTACTTTTTAGCTAGATAAATTAGAAGCGACCTTGTGCAGGTCGATATGCCGATGTTTAGAGCCCGATGTGGACTTTAAAATAAAATTTTGGAACCGACGTCGGTTCTTCGTCGAGTAAGTTCTGATCTGAAAAGATTTTCTGTAAATTTTTCTGTGAAACTTAGGTTATTAAAACCCTGTTTTTTCCCGGTGCATAAACAGTACATACAAAAGATCAAGCGGCAAAATCGAATATAAACGGGCTTGGAGATGGGAAAATTTGTCGGCACAGAAAACTTTGACTCCATCATACGCTATAGCTGAGACACAAACTTGGATTTCTTTTGCTCCAGATGTAATGGTTGGTTTTGTTAAAACGCGGCACTTGATTTGGTAATCGGCAAATACGGCGAACAGAGAAGCATACGCTCCTGTGAATCTAATACACGATGCTGACTACCAGTTGACGGAAGAGATTGCAAAAAATACTCTTCTAAAGCTCACGTTTTGAACTTTTTGTAATTTAGAAACAGCGGTGACTTTTCAAAAAAGCATCCTCCAGAACAAAAGTTTTGCTAGCTGTGCAATAGCTGGTACACCTGACTGTTGAAAAAAAGTCACACCCATCTAGAAGTGCGGCCCTATCGATAGAAAAAGTTCAACGGAGTTTCGCTCGAAAAAAGCGTCGTTCACATTTTTCTACAAAGCTGCTCGCTTCAAGTAGATCAAGGTTCCGCCTCCAAAAACGTCTAACTACCGTTGGGTAATTTTGAAATATCTTTTTCATAGGTTTCGCGATGACCTCTTTCATCTGGTTGAATCAGAATTTTTTTGGATCTTGTAGATTAGGAGGAGCTGATAAGTTTATTTCAGTAGTAGTTGAATAAATAACATTATCAGAATTTTAATTTCCTCAAAATAGATGCATTATATGCTATATCGAGTGCTTCATAGGACAAATTTCAGCTTTCAGCGTTTCCTCATATGTGTCTAACCCTAATTTGCCAGATGAAAGCTGTTTTTCGTTTCTGGATGGCTTTTATTATACGTAACACGTCATGCTTTTTTCCGAAGATGTGAAAAACTGTGAGGTTAAATGAATCGGACGCGACAAATGTCTCGTGACCTGCAGAATCCTCGAGACTCACACTTGGAGGGTATTCTGTGCGAATCTCAAACGATTGTTATTTTTATAAACTTAAGTTTACGAGTTATGAAGGATTTAATAAGTTCGATTTATGAAAAATCCGCTTCAAGGACTCTAAGCGTTTCTACATAGACATAGGATATCGAGTGCTTGTTGGTTTTAGGTCAAAAGACGATCCAAGCGTGCAGTAAGGAATTTTAAGAACACCTATTTAAAAAGTTTATAATTCCAAAACGAAAATCGGTACAAAGCTAAAGTCTTTCAGATTGAAAACAGTCATTTGTAACAAGACTAGTGCCGATGATAAAACGCGTGAAAGAAAGGCGTAGATTAAAACTAGGTGTTTCGCAAGCTTTTGCAAATTACGGCATAGAACATCGCCATTTGGAAAACTGGCTTTTCATATAGATTCGTACTGAGAGTCAACTAAGTACTTTCACATCTGAAAACAAAATTACGGTAGCTATCTTATTTCTGTCGAAACTTGTTATCACGTCATTTTAGTGACAAGCACTGTTGCAGAACTTTCTCGATATCGTCTTAAAAATAGACAAACTCAAAAAGCTGATAAGCCAAAAAAAACGTTTCGCAGCAGGAATTAAGTTTTTTCAGCAAAACAAACGGGAACTTGTGCGGACATCTTATGCAAAATTAGTATGATATCTAGATTGAATGTTATTCTTTCACTCTAATCTGCTGAGTTTTAAACTCAAAATACCTCTTCGATAGTGCGTCCTCCACTTACCCAACAGTGTACTGAGTTTCTTTTCAAAGAATCCATCCAAGAATACCCGCTTCCGCACTGGAATATCAAAAATAATCTTTAAAGTTTTGTACTTCTTCGTCAGAACTCCGCTGTCATATTTAATCTTAGGTTCAGACATTGAATCTGTAATACCTTTTGCATCACAGCGAATAAATTCAGTAGTGATCTCTGCGGCAGGTCCATTGTTGAGATTTTTGTTGGGGAAAAAAGTTTGGATCACGAATGCGAAGTGACAGTTTCCTGAAAATGAATTGGCATTTTCTTCAGGCCGATTAAATCGAAGCAAGAACTTCATATTACGACGAGGATTTCAGAAAGCGTTCTTTTTTTTGACGAAATCTTTTGGCGCCTCACAGCGGGCATTCAGGCGGACATTTGAGCAAAAATCGAAAGTGAGCTTTTTAAATTCGAACAGTAGTAAATGTAGACCTTGAAAAGCGCTGTCGAGGGTTTACAACGATCGGCTAGTAATGAACTCCTTCGATGAGTACCAACATTCACAAAAATCGCCATCAAATATAACAACATCTGCAAAGATTCGTATTCCTATTCACAGTCGTGCAATATTACTCTATTCAAAAGACAGAGTCTGATTCAGCACAACCTATTGCATCTTCCGACAATGCAAGGTATTTCCTTTGTATCTTGTACGAAACGCAAAAAGTCTAATAGTCTAAATTACTACGGTCCCACGTCGGCGGTGGGTCAGTGCAGTGGCAGGGCTGAAAAGCGCTAGGCGCGTCTAGGCCTTCTAACTACATGAGAAAGTTTCGCAGGACCTACTCTATCTACAGTATAAGCAACTTTTTGCTACTTTTTTGTCTAACATTTTTTATGGATTTTCCAAAACCCAGAGGTTTTTTAGAGATGTGTGGACTTTTTTTCCAACAAAAGTGTACTTCTTCTTAAAACTAAGATCACATTCGGAATCACCGTAAAACATTGCGTCGAATGACTTATTATGTATTATGTGCACAAAGAGCCCTTGTAGAGTGAAATATAGGCCTTCTAGAGTAAAAATCGTTTTTTACCGATGAAAAACTTTTTTCTTCGAAAATAATTTCTTCACTTTCCGGTCGATTCCTCCTCTTGAGTGGAGTGAGATAAAATAGTTTCTGGAGAAAAAAAAGCTCATGTCCGCCTGCTCTACGGAAAAATGCACGCTGTGAGCACCGATTATTATGCAATAAACACGCTGAATCTGGAAAAGTTACAAAAAAGGAGGTTAGGCCCGATTTGAAAAAACATTAGAACGGTAAATATCTATAGTCATTGGTGGTATCACCCATACCTAAAGATCAATATAGTGACCTTAAAGTTTAAAACGGAACTTTTTTTTGTCTAGTCCGTATTGCTCCCTTCTTTCCTATTGCTCTCTGCGCCACACACTATTTAGACGATCAATTCTCTCACTTTTGTTTTCTTCCTCTTCTATATCGTCTGTATAGTCGACCTTGGTTTTACTTCTTTTGTTTGCTTTATTTCAATAAATTTCTAATTAATCAATAATCGTCCAGGTTTGACTTCTCTTCTCCGACGCCATGTATGTGTATATATCTCTCGGATAAACGGAGGAAGAACATCACTTCTTTTTCACTTAAACAGACACGTCCATCCAGCCTTCGAAAAATAAAACTTCATCAAAACATGTCTTCCATTTTCTCTCTTATCGCCGCATTCTACTTACGGATTGCAACCGTCTGTAGCACTGCACGAGCTCTATCAAAACCATCTAAAACCGTCACATATGAACAATTTCTTGGCATTCAAATGGGCTGGACTCGTGAACATGTCATATCATACTTGAATAATAATCCAGGTGAAAATGGAACTTTATTTCACGGCAGTCAATTTGTAGATTATCAAGGTGCTGATTCACGTAGCCAGGTTCATTTATTCTTTAAATACAATACGGTAACTCATAAGACTCAATCCAATCTGAATTCAAAACATTATCCAATTTCCAGCGCACAGTACGACAAAATAGTTATTGGTATGTCAAAAGAACAGGTCAAAGCAATTGTCGGCAGTGAAGGAACATTTGTGAAGCAAAATGATCTGTCCGACGAAACCTTCTAGTATAAACATGGAGATAAAAGCTATGACATGGTTTATATTGACTATCAGAAGGGAAAAGTTTTTCAGAAAATGTGGATGTTGAATATTGAAAGAGTTTATCAATATCTAAGAATTTGTTCTCTATAGTTTTTTTTGAGGAGTGCTACAGAAATATAGGTCGCAGAAGCTCAGTGTACGTACAGTTTCTAATAGGCATGTATGCACTTTCGAGCCATCCGTGAAGGACGTTAGGTAAAAAGATCTAATAGTCTTTACCGTTACTTGTACGGAAAAGCGTTGCTAGGGAAAGGAGAAAATTTGGGAAACAGTTTTTGTTTGTTTGAAAACCCGAAGCCTCTCTCTCGTCTGGGAATGTCTTCAAACAAAGGTCGCAGTACGTTCGAAACCGGACGAGGAAGAGATAAGGAAAAGCGTTATTTTTATAGGCGTTCAAGGGGTGGCAGGGTGAAAGTTAACTGGAAAGGGATCGATTTACACCGGCCATTATTTATTAATGCTCGATTTTTTGATGAGATAGCAACTCTCCGTTGATTTCCATTCGAAAATTAATTTTCAACACATTTCTTAGCTTTCCCCTCATCAAGAAAACAGAAAAAGTAGGGGAGCTCACCAAGGTTTCACTTACTTTACGTTTTAATATTTGGGATTAAGTCCACTTTCTCAATCAAAGTCTTCTACCCGTCGATTGTACTAAAATTTCTTGTGGTGACAGTACCCGAGTCCACTATCTAATCTTGGCAAGACTGGAACGATCAAACCGACCGTAGAATTGAATGAGAACTGATTCAAGTCACACGATACGTTTTCATTATTGGCTAGAATTCGATGGGAGAGGGTAAAAGCTCGTTTTAGTTTTTGTGTGTTTGGTCCCCGGTCAGTCACTATCCGCTTCACCCGAATTTGTCAGTTGTAAATAAGTTTGCAAACGGATTTGAAAAAGTATTAGTAAAGTTCAAAAAAGTTCGACGTTTGTGTTTGAGAATGGAGAGCTGCAGAGCTGGGCGAGTCAACAAGAGTCAAAATGGAGTCGACTCGACCGCAACACGTCCAAAAACTTCTGATTCGTGACCCGACTTGACGCCATTCGTTAAAATCGGTGACTCGATCCGACTCGACTCGAGAATTTGGTTTTTGACTCGTGACTCAATAAAAGCTCTAACTCGTCCAGCCGTGAGCTGCTGAAAGTTACATTTTAGTCAAGAACTCATCATTCATTATCAACCGACAAAAATAATGAGATCCCTTCAGAGGCTGAAGGAGTACTTGAAAACAACGTTGAGTCACGAGAATAATTTCTTGCCAAAGTTCAGGTAGGAGGTTCACAGGTTGAACATTAGCAAGGGAAGAGTTCTACTGTGACGTACTTTCGAAGCACTTCAAAGGGCGAAAGATTTTTCAAAAATTAAAAAAAGTCGATGCTGATGAAGACAGATAATCTACGGTAGGATTTTCCTGAAATATATTCTGTGAATTCATATATAGTATGAAGTTGTAGTTAGTCGAGTGCAAGCGAAGAGAAACGCTTTCCTAACAGAATTTTCGTTGAGTATGACAAACATTTAAAAACTTTATCCAAAAAAAAGGGTGATCTTCGGAGCTAAATAGATCAGGTATCCAGCTTTACAACACTTTTGAACTGGAACGCACGAATGTAGCAGCTATACACAGTTAAAAATCTACAAGCTGGAAAAATGTACATGTTCTCGGAAAAACTGGAGAACATGAAACATGTTTTCCAGCCGATTTATGTTCTCCAGTCGATTTATGTTTTCCAGCTCACTTTTTGTATTCCAGAAATCATAAAATGCTTTTTTGTTCTCTGGAGAAGATGAACCCACAGTCCAACGTTTATTTTCTGATCGAAAAAGAGAAAAGAGAGAAAAATTGAGGAGAGGCAAAGGATGCGCGCAAATGAAAGTGCTAAGAAGTGAGAGAAGACGCCTAAACGATCATGATTCATTTCGGTGATTCTAAGAGCTTTTTAGAGCGTGCTTTCTGAGTTGTTTTCCACCGACAACATTTTCAGGAAGTTACGTTCTGAATCAGCCACGAAGTACTCTTCTGGGAGTTTTTGATGCCTATATTCCACTAACCACAGTTTCGTAGAAAGGGTTCGAAATGCACCACCTGTACACTCTAATGATAAATGAAGTAGGGAGATTTGCAGGGAAGAAATCCTTTGAGAGGATGCCAACTTGTACATCGTATTTATTACCCTTACATTAAAGACTCAGTAACTCTCTGGTCAGAGACCACTATCGATTTTCCAGAAAATTTCGCTTTCATGACTCACGTTGAGGTTTACATTTCAAACAGCGTTATGTTTCGATCGGCGAAATAAAGTTTACTTAAGCCTATGCTAGTTTCCAATGAAGGCAGGAACTAAGCTCCCATATATACCGCATCGTTAGCGAAAATCATTTCGGGTATACCATAGGTAATGTTAAGAGTACAATCATTCTTGAACTTTATTCAGAATAGAGAGTATTAATCAATGGTAATCGAGCAATAATCATAATAAACAGAGAGAACGAAATATAAATTAGAACTTGGATGATCAGAAGAACAATCAAATCAGTTTTAGAAATCAACTTGAATGATTTGTTGGCAAATGCATTACAAAACACGCACCATAATATAAGCAGTAATAGTACACTGGACAATTTAGGAAATTGAAGTTTATTAGCAAGAGCTTTTATTCTAGCTGACCAAATTAATTGAAATATTTGACCAACAACAAGAGGGAGTATAACTGTATATCCTAAGTTAATCAATGTCTTTTTATAGTCTAAAGTATGATTGAGATTATTTGTATGATTATTCGGTGTGACATTATATTCAGTTGCTATTAAAAGACTGATGAGTGGATTTTTCATGAACAATGTTACGATAGCCGGTGATATAAATACACCGAGAATATTTCCCAATGCTGAATATTCATTTCCATCTGCTTGTTTTGTCATAATAACATTCCCTGAAATTGTTGTACATAAGCTCGATGTTATGACAATACTAGCAATCAATGTTTTGTTGAATGAATATAAATGTTCCATTGTTCGTAGATATAATAATGCTAAACCATAGACAATAGCAGGCATAAATGACAGACTATAAATCTGAACAAGTAAATGTAAACGAATACGAATAATTTCATGAACGAATAGTTTTGTTTCTAATAGTAAACCACTGAGAAAAAACACGAGAATAATACATGGTGGTGTAATGGACCATTCACTATGAAGAATTCCATTCGTTCTACCAATATTAGGATACATATATGCCAAACAAATCACCAAGAGTAAACAAATAAGAAACCAATATTTGAGCCATAATTCAACAATTTTTTTCTCACCATTGGTAAAGTACATTTCCCAGAAGTTGATCTATGAATGATAATAACATAGTGATACTATCTGTTATCAGTGAGACAGAAAAAAAGACAAACTCCCTATTAGTCTTATTTCCCAAAAGTAGATAACATGTATATATAAAGACACATTACTCAACTAGGACACCTTATTCAATTTACATAATTTCGTTCTTTTATTAAAGATTAGAATTGATTTCAAGTTTTGTTAGAATCTTGACTCTCATCTAGTATCTCATAGGAATCTTTCGTACAAAACGATGGTCTATCTAATATATATATCGGTGCAGTTAAATCTTGTACTAGACTTCCTTCAAAAATGCAAACATACTTCATCCCGAGACTAACAGATTTCTGTTACTAAAAGTACTAATGCGTTTTTGGGAATCTTTAGCTTTTGATGAATGTGGTTCAAAGAAACCAGTCTCAATCAATGGACCATCCTCATCCGAACTCAAAAATCTCTGAAAATTACGATATAGCGTGGATTCCAGAGATATATTAAGTGGCTACATACCGATGATGGTGAAGATGGGCATAGAGTTACTGTACGCGCCAAAAGTTCTGCCAGACTTTGATTGTTAATATGTAAATTGAAGAAGTGTAATTTAATCTTCTTACACATAATATAGTTAAACATTGACTGAGTATATCCATATAGTATGCACCTCTGAATTGTTTATGTATAACATATACTGTACATTTTAACTCTTTGTATCCACCTATACATCTGAAAGTTTATGTGTACATATAAGTAGATGTGGACTATGCATACTACTAAAATAAAAATAATCCGTAGTGTTGCAGAGAAAAACAAATTTTATTTCGAACCATTACCTCATTTCTAGAAAGTTTTCTTCGTCACTCAGCTGTTTTATCTTTTTGAATTGACCTATGTTCTTTGTGTCACCATCAATAATAATTGCGACTGGTTCTCTCTTTTGGTGGGCACAAGTAAATAAATTTCTTCCTTTCAATAAATAGCTTATAACAATTAAAGTTTCACTAAAAACGAATAGTTTTCGCATATATTGAACTTCAGCCTCAGGTCTATTGTTAAGCCTTCAACTTCGGAACAACGATAACCTCCTAAGAATAAAATATATTATCCCATAGAGACGAGTATAATGAACAACTTTTCCAATGGACAAATAGTTAATTCAGTCATGTTGACATATCTGCAAAAACATATGAATAAAAACAAAAAAGCCAAAAATAGAAACGTACAAAATCTGTTTTTCTGTTTTTGTTCAACACTTTTTCTTGTCTTATTTATTTATATGCAAAAACAATTCAGATACGCGTACCCACAGGATCTTTTTTCCCTATTAATAGCGGTATAACTCTATAAAACATGCTTTTCTTAAATTATGGTTATAGATTTATCACATTGATCTGATATATATATACATATGTATACTATATGTATATACTCAGGCAATGTTCAACTATATTAACATATAAGAAGAATAGATTACACTTCTTCATTTTACAGAAAAACGTATCAGAAAACAAATCCTTGCAGAACTTTTGACGCACACGGCAGCTACGCTAAGACCATTGTATATACAATTCATCAATAAAAATGACATTATTGGGTTTCTCTTTTGAGTTTATAGAGTCAGTAAAGATCGGTAAGAAATAAGTAAAATCGGTAGAAAATCAGTAAACCACTGATTTACAGATCAGTAACTGTCTCTCCTGAATAATTCATCCGAAGGCAATTGTCTTTCGAATGCATTTCTTGTCAAAACGATTTTTATTTAAACTAATGAATAATAATGAATAATTGTAAAGCACCTATCAAACATTTTTCAGAAACCCGTAAATTTATGCTAATTTCTGGTCATTCATCTATTCCGAAATAGTAAGGTGCAACTAATGCAAAATTCAAGTGGGTTTTATTTTTCGATTTATTATACATATTCTGATTTGTGTTGTCGAGCTGATCATGAATATCACCTTTAAAAGTCCTTTTTTCACGGAGAAAAATCTGAAATACTGGTTGACTTAATACATGATTCAAATTTAATGGTGTATGAATTAAAGGTATAGCCTTTCATTGAAAAAACTAGATAGGCTTACAAAATGAATGATGCTCCATTTGACACCCGCCAGTTTCGATATCCATGGCGGACGAGTGTTTACCTTTAAAATGAACTGAAGACTTTTTTTAAATCAGTTTTCAACGCTGATTCAGGAAAAAATAGTTTCAACCTTCTATCTTGTAATAAAACTTCAGAAAAGTCAATTCTACGATAAAGGTCATTTTTTTCGATTTTTTAGACCCTTGCAGTATTTCAGGTTTTTCTCCATGAAAAAGTGACTTTTAAAGGCGATATTCATGATCAGCTCGACAACACAAATCAGAATATGTATAATAAATCGAAAAACAAAACCCACTTGAACGCCAGTTCGTATATGTTAAAGTGTTAAAGTGTTAATGCTAAAGTGTTAACACTTTAACACTGAATCCGCGGCGACGGCGATTTCCGGATGTTATGTCTCCGACAGTTATCGTTTGCAAGTGCTATATACAATGAGCGCAACTTTGTATAAAATCTATGATTCTTAAAAATGTACGATGTTTATATTTTAATTATGTTTTAGGTATTGCACATTATAAAGACGTGACAATTGTTATCCTTGATACAGAAGGTTTATTTTCATTAGAAGAGTCTGGTTCCATTTTTGATAATCAAATAATAACAATGGCAATATTATCTTCGCATATTGTGCTTATTAATCACAAGGGCGAATTAAGTTCCAATTTGGAAGGCTTGATTGGTATGAGTCTATATCCAAAATTGCAACTTCAAAATTCATCATTAAAGCCAAAATTATTATTTGTATTACGTGGTCAAATGGATCGTAATAAAAAAATATTTTGTGAACAATTAACTCAATTTAAACATAATTTACAAACAAGTAGTGGATTTCTAAAAGTATCAATTGATGATGAATTAGAAATAAAGCATGAAAATATTGTATTATTACCAAGTGCATTTTCTGAAGATATAAATTCAGATTTAAATATACAACAACGTTGGCGTAATCAAACATTTCCAATAATGATAAATGAATTAAGATTAAATATATTTGATGGTTTAAATGAACAAATAATAAAACAAAATCATGGTTATAAAGATTTTGATTATTTATATAATAAATTAACAAATAATTGGAAATCCATTGATGAATTAGGACAAGGTTCATTAATGTGTAAAATATGAATTAAGTACATCAAATGAATTGAAAGATATAGCTAAAAAAATAATTATTATGAAATCAACTCAATAAATGGTTTTTCAGCTGGAGAAAAAATGAAGTATAAATTTGAATGTCTATATGACAAATATCATTACATATGTACCTGTATCAGTTTCTGTTATTTGTGACGTTATGGAATATAACATAACAGGAAATATTGTATAATCCAATTGATTGTCAATCTAAAGAGTACATTCTACGATATATCTAGACAACCAAGGTCGTTGATTCCGGCGTCAGAATCCTGCCGGATCCAACACTATAACATGTCGGAAGTTGTCGGAATTCGGTAAAATCTGGCAGCAACCATGCTGGATATCCGTTGCTCGGAATTCGTGCCAGAACATGGTGGAAAAAATCTGACAGGATTCTTCGAGTTTCAGACATCGAATTTCGCTCGATTTGGCAGAATGTAATCAGTTTTCAGGTCTTTCAAGGCTAAAAGTAGCCTTAAATTTTTTTTTTCATTTTCTAGTGGTTCTTGTCTTTGTTCATTAGAAAGTGAGAGGGTCCACTAGCTAGAACCTGTACAACATGCCCGTTAAACAGTGTGAGCGATGACTCACACCGTTAAGAATTTGAGAAGAACAACTTCTCATTTTTCATTTTCTGTAGTGTCGTATTTAAAGTGCTCCTGTCTTGAAATAAAACGGTGAATATATTAAGCGCACAGAAAAGAAACCAAAAAAAAATTAAGTACACATCGCAGGATCCGGATGCTCCAGGAATCTTATATCGGAACGCGACGGAATTGAACAGATTCGGAACAGATCGGACGCTCGATCTCCGAAAATCACCGAAATTAAAAGGATCCGATGGGGCAAATTCGACCTGGGAAGTGTCAATGGAGATTCTCAAACTGATCTTCGCTTTATATTTGGAGTATTATGAAGTGCAAAGTGTACAAAGAATATTTGATACATGTTTAAAATGTTAGTTACTTGTACACGATTAATTCGAACATGTAAAGCTGCTCTGGTTATTGACCAAGCATAATCAATCCATAGTCCATCTAAGGCTTGACGTCTGACTTTTATTGTATGACCACGTTGATTTATTGAATTGCCTGTACTATCGTCAATAAATATTACTTGCTAGACACATAAAATATTTACACTACTTTCAACTGTAGAGATAAGATCAATGATGCAAGTCTTACTCTGTTCTCCATTATTGAATATTTCTGTTTTCTCAATTCTAAATCGTCTGGATTCGTTACTTTCTTTTTCCAGATATAATTTATATGTTTCTTTTAGTGCATCATTTAGATCAGAATTAAACGGTCTTCAACGATTTTTTCTCTGTTCAGTCCATACCACTTTTGATATATAGAGTAATTCTTCATGTTTAATATCGTTGACAATTGATATGTCAATATCATGAATACCAATTTGAATGCGTTGACCCATTGATTCAGCTAAAGATAGTATCTGAAAGATAAAAATTAATTCATAATAAACGACACAACACATCACTTAGAATTTTCATATCTCTTACACCGGATGCTTGTTCAATAATATTAATGGTATCAGCAAATAACAGAACTGTTTGAACACCATCAATAAACGATGTATAACTTATTTCGTGATGTTCACTAATAAAGCTACATTGAGGCTGAAAATTAAGTAGAAAATAATCACGCATAAATAAAAAATGTAGCTGATGGCTGTTCATATTTACGATTAAATCCAAACTTGTTGTATTGCCTTGTACGGATGAGATAAGTGCTATTGGTTTCATTGGATCAACCCATGTATAATAAACATGATTTAGTGGTGGAAGTACTTGACTCTTACTAAATTCACAATAAAATGAATTAATAGAGATGAAAATATTTTATCTAATTTTTATTTCCTACCTTTCATCTTCCGTTTGATGAAATGTAATTGAATCATTTTAAGACAATTGACAATCATTATAGGTGCATCACCGATTTTATAATCACTAAATATCATTCGCACACCATTAAAATCTGTCACTGTTACTTCAACGTTAAGTGTCGGACGATTCTTTATCAAAAAAAAAAGTTGATGAACACGTTCACAACGTTATGAAAAGAAAAATACGAAACTAACTTTTCCATTCTCAATAATATTCGATGTTTTTGATTCATTATAAATGGTTGACTTAATATATGATTTCGTTCTGTATAACGAACACGCATTAAATCTTTTTCCATACTATGAGGCCAAAATGGAACAACCTAAATTGAAAAGTAGAAAACAACAATGAGAACTTTTATTTAAAAACAAAAAAGACATATGTAATACACTTACCTCGCCAGGATTTACTGGACCCCATTTATCTTGTTCTTTATCATAACTTCGAGTTCAATCTTAATAAAATTAGACAATAATAATATGATATTGCTACATTTTCGTCTTTTTTTTTGCTGATAAACATACTGTCGAATTATTAATGATGACCATTGATGGTGATAATATCATTATTTTTGTCATACCAAATGAATTTGTAACAATTTCCACGCATAAATAAATTAATAAACATATGAAATATCATCAATATTTTCTCTACACGTACCATGTATGTTTTATTATCCGATACTTTACAAATGGCCACTCCAGTACTTTTAATAACATCAAGAGAAAATTGTTCATATCAATTTGTATCAGCATGAGCAAGTTGAACAGTTCTTACACAAATTTGAGCCTAGAATCAGTCAAAATGTGATGTGGTCATCAAAAAAGATTTCATACGTTTAACCTTTTTATTTGAGTTGATATCAAATTTTTCTGAACATATTAAAAATGGTGTTTCAACATTAGAAATATCTGTTTGCTGATTTTCAATCTAAAGACAAGAAGATACAATTATGGCAGAGAAGAGATCAATATTGTCAACGAAAAGTATTAACAGAACAGATATGTTTTGTTTATTGGTTTCATACGTGTTCTATAATTGTATAGTTAACCGAAGATTGTACTTACTTGAAAGTCGAAATCAAACGATGTCCGATTTAATATCCAATATGGTGCATATAATAATATTCGATAAGATTCATGAAACATTTCAATACGTAATGCCATATTCTAAAACGAGAAACACCATGATTGATTTTAGTTTTTCTTTCCATATAAACTTACTAAAGTGTTTCCAGATTGATCAAGAAATTTGATTACATCTTCATTTTTTTGTTCTTCTCTTAAATTAATTGGTTCACTAATCCATTTAATTTACTATAATTTAAAATCTTAAATAAAAGAGATTCAAATTTTAATGTTTTCTAGTCTTTCTTTGTCATATGTGTGTGCAGTACGAACAGTAGATATCAGAACAGAATTTTTATCTCCAGAAGTAAAAATTTGTAGATCACTCGGTTTCATAACAATTGTTTCATTATTCTAAAGTACAATAATAACTAGAGTCACCTAGTTCATGCAATTAATCAAATCAAGTTTGTGAAAATGTGCCTCTTTTCCCATTAACATGAAATTTATCAGAAGATAAAGCAAATCTATCATACGTGTCTTATAACTCTGCAGTTACAAGAATGAAGTATCATGGATATTATATAAACTTTTTCCAGTATGTTTCACAACTACCATTAAAACGATTTGAACAAAAACTTTCATCAACAGTTATTAACTCACATTGATTATACACTGAACATCCACCGGTAATAAAGGTAGAGTCCGCATAACAACAGTGATCTGCCCACTAATAATAACCCGTCCAAGCGGTCCCAACCTCATCAGAATCACATCCGATTATTATATTCGATGATTTCGACCCTTCCGAGCGCTTTCAGTCGAATATACCCGACAGAATCTGCTTGAAACCAAGCAACAGTTTAGCACCAACAGTATGACTGTAAAATCAACATTTCTCAGTAACCATACCATATTAAGCCTAGCGCTATACATCATTCGATGCGCCATGAAAAGCTCTACAACACGCGTTAACAAGAAACTTAACGAAACCTGGCGCAGGTTTTATGCATTTAATACTAGACTTTTCCATAGGTCAGGACTATGCCAGGGGAACTATTGTTCACTTTTTTTCTGTGACACCAAAGATGATCTCTAATCATTCATTTTATTACATCAAATGACTTTGAAATTCTTACTATTACCTTTTTCAAAAAACGACAGGAGTGGGCAAAATGCTTATAACTTTTGATAGGAGATAGCTAGAGATCTGGGATTTTTGCCATTGGAAAGAGGACAGCGGGACACGTAAACCTATGAAAAAACAAGGTGTAAACCATGGTGTACCATTCGACACGAAATCCGAAAGCTTACCGTTCCCAAACGTCTGGGAATCTCAGAAACATGTGGATCATAGGTAATCGCCACATTGATCATCGTGGCGATGTTCGTTTCATTCCTCACTTAAGCACAACTTGAGAAAACCCAATTTGGAGAAAAGTTCGATTTTTCGCCTGTTACCATCAAAAATTAAAAGCCTTATATTTCACTCATTTCTCTTCCAAAAAAGTTCAGACTTTCAGGGAATGATTAGCAGAGGGCATAGACTGCAGACCAAGTTGAAAAATCTGATCCGAGCTTTTGTTCCGCTGGAGGGTTTCCAGGGATGCCCCAAAAAACCGTATGCCTAAACTGAAAACCTCGTGCAATGTTTTCGACTTGATCTGCAGTCTATGCTCTCTGTTGATCATTCCCTGAAAGTCTGAGCCTTTCTGGACGAGAAATGAGTGAAATATAAGGCTTTTAATTTTTGATGGTAACAGGCGAAAAATCGACTTTTCTCCAAATTGGGTTTTCTCAAGTTGTGCTTAAGTGAGAAATGAAACGAACATCGCCACGATGATCAACGTGGTCGATTACCTATGGTCCGCATGTTTCTGAGATTCCCAGACGTGTCTGCAACGAGATAGGTATGTCGTCGGAAACGTACGTATCTCTGGAATCAAAAGAGATAGAGACCTAGACCTTACGACGTAGTTTTGAAGAGACATGTTTTGGCTATCGACTGGTTTTATTTGAGAATGGATGTCATAGTGTGGCTTGCCAACAGTGAGCTTTCGGAGTTCGTCTCGAATGGTACACCATGGTAAACGTGATCGAGTGCCTTGTTTTTTCATAGGTTTACGTGTCCCGCTGTCCTCTTTCCAATGGCGAAAATCCCAGATCTCTAGCTATCTCCCATCAAAAGTTATAAGCATTTTGCCCACCCCTGTCGTTTTTTGAAAAAGGTAATAGTGAACAGTACATATAAATTGGTAATAAAAGAATCACTCTTGATACGATCACAAGAACCAGTACTAAATGGTGCAGCTCGTTCAGTACCGTTATGCGTCTTGTGTGTACAATTCCACTTTTGACAATGACCGTGAATGGTCGAAATATCAAGTTGGGTAAGATAAATTCAATTAGCTGCAATTAACATCAAATTATTTCAAAAATCGTCACCTACTGATGTTAAATTTGTATTGACTTGAAGTTGCAGTATAATTACAATCAAAAGACAAAACTTACAGAACAACATTTTTCTGCAATCTGTTCCGACCCCGTAAGTGCGAGCCCGTGAAATATTTTTCTTGCCCAAAGCTCATGTGCCCAAGCCCATAAATTTTCTGTTGTCCCGACCCCGTTCGTCCTACGGGACGGCACAAACGGGATGGGGTTTGGGGCTGTCCCGCAGGAGTCTATTTAACGGACAGATTCTAGTGGATGCTTTTTTGCACGTTATTTTATATCTGAAATTCGAACAGACCTTTTTTCGGTATGCTTTTTGTGAACGGATAACTGGACGCTTTTTTGCCGTGTATTAAATTACAACGGGTATGGCAGAATAAATGAGGGTCTTGGTATTTCCTCAATATCTTTCCCAATTTTCACCAACCAGACTTTGTTTTTGTACTAGAACACCCCAGTTCAAATTTCTATAAAGCTCAGTTCATGGAATTCTTTGACACTGCCAAAGTAGCAAATCATTGCATAAAACTACGAAACACTGGTATGGTCAACTTTCTGACGGCAATAACAGGTTTTTTTGTTTACTCATTATGTTTCAAATTTAGTTCACCATTTTGCAACACTTCAAAAATTCTAACTTTCAGCATCAGTGAACTTTAGGGCAGTATTTATTTATCATACACAGTAGTTTATTTAACGTGCTTTACTATACATGAGTAGAAAGAACACGCTTTAACGTGCAAAAAAACTTACTTTAATGCTTTTCAATGTTTGAACAACAGTGAGAAAAAGTCAGGAATTTAGTTTGTTTTTAACGCTGAAAAGTTGGCTAAATCAGTGTTTCGTAGTTTTATTCATATAACTTGTTACTTTGCCACTGTGAAAGAATTTCATGATCTGAGCTTTGGAGAAAATTGAACGGGGTGTGTTCTAATACAATAATGAAGTCAATTGATCCATGTAAATTGGGAAAGATATTGAGGTTGTACTAAGACCACCATTTATTCTGCCACACCAGTTAATCTGAAACATTAGCTGCCTACCTACCGTATCATATATTATTTGTAATGGTTGCACAACAATGTATATTTTGTAATCAGAGTTTTGTACATTAGGAGTTGTTTCAAAGTCAATATCTAAAAACTCTTTATCTTGTTTTGATAAAAGAGATTGCACTAATATTGGGTGACTTTTAGTTACTTTTCCTGCTGGTTCCGGCTGTGGTGATAAACCGTGAAGAACAAATGAATGTAAACGAGCGGCAACTCTAAATAAACAGAGATATGTCAGAATATTCAAAAACCTTTCCTTTATCAAAACTTTATATACGTAGTACTAGATAATGCTGGATAATGTTTAATATTAATAACTGTCTCGGACACAGTGGCACAGACAACCGCAGAGTTGTAACCGGTCCGATCCGGCCAGTCATCGGCCGGTCCAGAAGTATTTCCAGACCGGTAAAAACCGGTGAGTTCATCAAGTTTTTTCAAGTAATAACATTGATATTAGGGACAAAATTTTGTTCTGAATACCTACAGATTTTTACGCATGTCTTTTCTGTAATGCTTATAC